CTGTACTCCCACACATGGTCACCATTTGCTGTTTTTCCCAGTGGCACCCTCCATATTTTTTTCTATTACCCACTGAATGGTATACTAAATACATATTAAAATATAATTTTTTTCTGAAACAGAAGCTTCTATTGCTAAACTGGTACACCAAAACATTTTCATTTTTCGTAAGAGTTAGAGTTCATTGTTGATTATAAACCCAATAAACAAACATCCCTTTATTGCCTCATTGACAATTACACAGTATCTTTACCCTCTTACCTACTGAGTTTTATGGAAACTATTTCAACAGCGTAGACATTTATCATTACAAGAGAAACTCCCATTTAGACATTAACTACCTTGGCTTTATTAGAAACTCATTTTCCACAGATGTCCAGGCATGATTTGCTCCTTTTTATCAGGAAATAAATAATATCAGGTAATAGCTTCCTGTGGCAGAGGTTACATCTTTATTATACCCAGAGAAATAGATATCAACCAGTCAGAGAACAGCCAGATGGCTTGCCCTTCTTATCAATAAAATTTAATTTTCACTAAGCCAATTGTGACCAAGCTCATTTTTAAATAGGAAGCCGACATTTAGGATTCTTATATGAGGCAGCAAATATGAGAGTTTCAAATTTGCACTAACACAGATCCCAAGTCAGAAACCTAGGGCTCTTCTTTGACACTAAGCCACTCATTCATCAAGTCCTACTGGTTCCATCCCATATTATCTCCCGAATCTGTCTACTCTTTATGTTTCCAATGCCACACCCTTAGTGTAGTCCTGTCATTTCATACCTGGTTCACTGACACAACCAACTCCTGCCTGTCCCATCCTTCCTCCTCCATGCCATCACAATGGACTGTTGAAAGCAGAAGTGTATCCTTTTTAGAAGAGGGCAAACTGCCTAAACGTGGTCTTAAATGTCTGTTTGATCTGCTCTCCTGCCTAGTTTCCTGCCTTATTTGCTACCTCCCTATCCCTTTCCTCTGACACTACGTCCCATTTATGGACTAATTACTTGCAGTTCGCTCAAGTAGACATAGTTCACTTCTACCTCTGTGTCTTTGCAAACATTGTTCCTTTTGCTGAAAATGCCTTTCCCACTGCCCTCCCCACTTCCTTTCACCTTGATTGTAGTAGCTAACTACTGCTTTCCTTTAGTCTCCAGCATACACACCATCTTCCCAATGAAGAATTCCCTGGTCCTTCAAGACTAGACTACATATCCTTCCTATATGCTTCCCCAGCATCTAAGTGAGTGTTTAATAAACTTTACAAACAACAGTATTGTCAACATTAACTGGTTAGTCTTGTAGGATCTTGTTCAGATGATTAGCTTGGGCGGGGGGCAGGGTGTGTGCTCAGGTATGATTATTACTCTGATTTCTGGTTCTGACATGCACACTCTCCCCCCAGCACACTGACCTTAACAATGTCACCAATAGGTGCATCAGTTAGGAACTGCAATAAATTGCTCATATCAAGAACAAAAAATCAGAGTCTTCAACAAAATAGAAGGTTATTGCTCTCTCACAGAAAGGGAAGTCCAAAGATGGATAGTCCAGGGCTGATCTGCCACATCACAAAGCACCTTGTCTAGCTGTTCCACCACCTTTAGTGTAGGACTTCCATTCTCTAAGCCACAAAATGTCTCTGGGTCTCCAGACATCCAACCTTCATTCCAAACAAGAAAAGGGTCAAAGTAAGGGGGATTCTTCCTGATGGGTAAAAGGGAGCTCTTCTTGATGCCTTACCTATTGCCTTCAGTTTATTCCACATTGGCCACCCTTGTATGTAAGAAGGACTGTGAAACGAAGTCTTTGAGTTGAGCACACTGGTGCCTCAAATAATATCTTATTTACAAAGAAGGGGGAAGTGAATACTGAGTAGACAACTAGCAGTTTACTCCACACTGAGAGGAGTTGTATAATCTACTCTTTAAGAAAATAATGGCTCTGCTTTATAAATTCAAATTTCACATAATCTAAGAAACAACAAATTGTTTGGGAAGAGGAGTCACAGTGGGGACTTTTAAAACAGTACACTTCAAATATGAAAGAGGTTTTAAAAAACCCAAGTCATATATAATTTTTCAGGAACACATCTCTTATATACAAGGAGGGATACCCTCATACAGAGATCTCATTTATTCACTCCTACGTTATCCACAATGAACTATCAATGAGTAACATTGAACATATTACCTTCTGTGCTCCTCACTTTATGAAGCAGGATTGGTATTCCCACTTGCAGATGAGAACACTGAGGCAGAGAGTAGTTTAGTGACTTATGCAAGAATCACACTGTTGGTGATAGCACAAGCACTCGAACCCAGGGCCACCTGATGCTCTACTCTGTAATGCAACTTCCCCACAAGCCTCCCCCGTTTCACTTGGACTAATGATTCTGACACTCCCCAAAATACAATTTCCATCATGTTGAATGTGCTACTTAAGATTGAAGTGTATTCACAGATGAATAACTGAAATGTATGAAATATTCACACTGTATGAGTTTAAACACGACACCCAATAACTGAGCCCATGCTGGCTTATCCCTAATGGAAAATATTGGACACTTTATTGTGTTTAAGTACACGATGAGTGATTTAATTAGATTACTCAGGGTCTTAAAGCTAGAAGAGTCTGTATAGATCATCCAGAAACCCTTTACTCATTTTTGAGATGAGAAAACTCAACTGGCTAACTGATTTGGTGAGAGTCATACAACGAATGAGCTGTACTGCCAAGGAGAGAACCCAGGCCCCCAGCCTTCAGTATTCCAAGGTTCTCTTTTTCTGCAGCATCCCTTAGCTTTCACTTTCCCAAATCTTACAGCCAGTGATCTAAGTCCTCTACCACATCCTGATACCCTTTGTTTTATAGAACTATTTGTATTGCGTAGATATAAATCAGAGATTTTCAAAGTCCAGCTTAAATTCCCTGGCACCCTTAAGGCACTCCATGATTTTCCTAATGAGAATTAATTGTTCTTTGCTCTCCACTTAAATTATACTTTAAACCTCCATTTTAGAACGTAATTCCTTCCGATTTATATTAATTATTTTTGCTGGTGTCCCATTCTCGATTATAAGCCTTTTAAAGGACTTGTTCTTTATAGCCTCCAAGCAGCTGGTTCGCTCTTTTGTCTAGACCAGGTGTTCAATGTGAATTCATTGAATGAATGAGTGAATAATATAATTATATTTTAACATTTTTTAGGATATTTTAATTTTCTTTTTTTAATCAAAGTATAGTTGACACCAATGTTACCTTAATTTCAGGTGTACAACATAGTGATTCAACAACTCTGTACGTTATGCTATGCTCACCAACTGCAGCTACCATCTGTCACCACCTAATGCTACTATAATACCATTGACTATATGCCCTATGCCGTACCTTTCATCCCTGTGAATTATTCATTCTGTAACTGGAAACCTGGTTTAGTAGGTTTAATAGAGTATTTCTTTAAGTGTTTCTGTTTAAAGGTGTGTCTCTCTAGATTTAAAAATAAACAAAATTGTGCTCATCCCTCTATATTAGTACTTTCCATATTGTGTTGTTTGTTGTCTATTTTCTCATTTAGAGTATCCTCCAGCAGAATGCCAAGTCTGCACAGATAGGCTTACGTACATTTGCTCCCTCCCATTCCCTAATGCCCAGCACTGTGTCTGATACAGAGTCAGCACCCAAGCATCCAATAAATGGGAGATAAGTGAATGAATCTCCTCCATTTCATAGACGCTCATAGGATTTTTGCAGTTTCAATCCAAATCTTTCTGAAGCATATACCCATGGAAGTAAATACCTCCAAGCAGCTATTTTGTTCTTCCAAAGAAATTATTGTAGAATGTGTGAGAACATTCAGTGGGCAAATATGCAACATGTCTTAGAAAAAATGGAAGTGTGGTTGTCAAGGAGGAAAGATACAAGGACAAGAGTCTTTGAAGCTGTGTCATTAACTATTCCCAGTACTGCTGACTACAAACCAACCACAATACTTCAGTGCCCACCCAACAATAAGCAATTCTTGCTTGTGCCTCTGGGATGTTTGAGCAGACAGCTCTGCTGATCTTGGCTGGGCTTGGCTGGGTGGTTTGTCTGGTCTCAGTTAAACATCTCACAGGTACAGGGAGATATATCGATGTACGGGGGTCAGCTGGCCTGCAGCTGAAATAGAATATTCTTGGCTGGAATGACTAGGCTAACTCATCTCTATTCCAAGTCTCTAATCATCCAACAAGCCAGCACAGATGTTCTAATGGTGAGGAAGAAGGTAAGAATGAGAATAAGCCTGATTGCACAATTGCTTTCAAGCCTCTGCTAATGCCATGCTTGCCAACAACTCATTGGCCAAAGTAAGTTTCATGTCTGAGACAAGAATCAAAATAGAAGACCACTGTAAAGTTATATAGCCAACAGGGTGGAGTGGAGAAATGGAGCCAGTGTTGCAAATCTACCACAGAATAAAAACTGAATATTGCTTGTTTAAAACTTTTGCCCCTAGCATGTAATAGTAGGCTTGATAAATATTTGTTGAACAGATGTGCAGATCAATGGATGGATAGATGAATGGATGAATTAATGAAACTAGTTTATGGGGCTCTTAACAGAGACTAGTCATCAATAACTCAACTATCGACTAGATTATGCCAGCAAGAAAACATTTGTCCTGAGATTTCCACAAGGTCCAATATAATAACTTACAAAAGTAGAAACAAGCACACACTTACTGGGTCCATCAAGCAGCTCTGGGAATGCGTTCTTCAGAATCCTTCTCTGGTGAACATGAAGTATTTTTCAAGGTATCCACCCTTCTTTAGTTATAACAAATATTTCTGTGCAACTAAACTGAGTTTTTATCACAATTGCATTAAAGACATTTTAATATTTCCAATTCTTGCTTCTTTACTGCACAAAATTAAAGCATCAAAAAAGTATCTTTGGGAAAAAAGAAAAGTATCTTTGGTCACAATTACAAGCTTTTTTTATTGCAAGAACAGCAACATTAGAAGCCTCCTGAACCACAGCTAACCTCTGACAAAGCCAGGCAAAAATCCAGTTTTGAAGTAGATCTCTACTCCGGAACCTTTAGTAGAGGAAGAAATTCTCCATGGGTGATTAGATTGCACTGTAAAATTCTCAACCAAAACTGAGAGCTGCTTATAGCTTCTTCCTTTATCTAAACCCAAAACAGTATACAGCATTCTAATGAAATGGATTTAATAGAAAATTAATTCACCAAGTAAAGGGGTTAGGATGATGAGACTTCTACATTGTACTCCTAGGAAACAGGAAAATGGCACACTTGTTCTAAGAAATAAACTCAAGAGCTTTTGGTGAGTTCTGTATAATAAGCAAGTGATCAATATTAATTGTTGATAGTATTTAATGTTTCAGATTGCCCTGAGGAACATGAAAAATTGGGGACGTATAGTTCGTTCACTAACATTTACTGACCCTTAGTATATGCCAGTCTCTGAGCTAAGCACTCTTAATTCATTGCCTCATTTACTCCTTACAACATCCTATAACATGGGTATTTTTCAAATGTTTACATTTTCCTATACATATTATAGAGGAAAGAGCTAATACTGCCAACAGCCAGGGGACCATGCATCCTGGCTTGGCCTGATTTGTGCTTGTTGTCCTGGCATAATTGTTGATAACACTCACTTCACCCTTAGAAGTGCCCTGGTTTGGATGATTGTTATGATCACCCTGGTAAAGAAATTTGCCCACACAGCTAGTAAATGGCTGAGCTGGGACTACCAGGTGGGTTAATCTTACACCAGGGACGTCAATTTCACCTCACTGTCTTACAATTCCAGCCACAATGATGACTGACAGAGTCCATTCCTGGTATCTGTCAACTTAAATCCAGAAACTGAGAATGTAGAGATCCTGAAGTGTAATAAGATTAGAAAGTGGAACTTAAGTAAATTCTAGTTATATTCCCAAAAGACTGGGAAAAACTGAATAGCCCCAAGAGCTGGAAAACAAGCAGGGAATAGATGCTTTCCAAAGCAAAGTCCCTGAAATTCATCCTTTGGATAGAAATTAAAACATTCCTTTATATACTTAAATATCAACTAACTTATTGAATTGCTATTGCATTTATTGAATATGCACATTGAAGAGACCAAGATTCTGTCCTAGTTCCTAAGTAAAAGAGAACACAAGTTTACAGTTAGAATATCCTTCCTCTTTCCCATTTATCTTACTACCAGTAAATAGCAACATTTATCTCCTTTTTTGCAACAGGAAGGATAGTTTGTATTTTCAAAGAGGGTCAATTTGGGTAAAATGTAAATCAACAAAATCAAAATGCATTCTTTCAAAGTCCCGCCAGTTCCCCTAGTAGTAGGGATTATGTACATTAGCAGCACAGAAAATGTAAAAGAACTAAGGAGGAAAATTGTAGGGGAAATGCAAATAAGTACATTTCTTGTATTTATTCATGAGTAGATTTCTTGCAAAAAGAGACAATCACCCAGGTTCCTTAGATCATACTGACTGTTCTTTGCTAATGCACAAGACTAGGAACTCATGCACGTGTTCCTTATGCAAATCAAATTGGAAAAAAATTAACTTGGAGGAGTGGTTGTTTGCTTATAAAAGAATTCCCATTAAATTCTCTTGAGAAAATATATGGACTAAATCAAAGGAGGAGGAAATAACTAGTCCAAAAAGATGACAATAGTTGAAGTCGGCCCAAATTATAAGAACAGAGACCAAATAAGAGTCAGGGAATTAAAAAAGCAATTAGAATAAACACATAGAGATGGGAGAGGAAAGGAGAAATAGAAATAAGACCTTCTTACAGAATAATTAGAGAGAGTGGTGGTGACTCAGAATTGCTCCTCCAAACCACAGTCTACATAGTGAAGCCAGAGCATCTCAAACTCGTAGAGGATGCGTCCATTGTAGACAGTGACAACAGATGTCCCAGCTGCTTGATTGCTCTGGAGAGAACTGTGTGAACAATAATGCAAACCCCACCTAGGAGACAGAGAGAGAGAAAAAGCTAGAGAAAAAAAATTCATAAGGGAAGAAAGGAGTTGGGTGGTCGCTCAGCCATCTGCCTGACAACACCTACAGGCCCACCTGAACCATCCCAAGCAGATGAGACCTCCAGACCTGTAGCTCCATGATCCCCCTTGGTCACAGTGTCCTGGGGTGGAACATTGGTCAGAATACTTTCCTTCATACTAATATCAACACTCTTTCATCCTGTTCACAGTGCAGGGAGACAACAGGCGAGCCCCTCCCACCTTGTTTTCCTGTAGGGCCGACAGGCACTAGCGTGGGGATAGCGTCTCCTGGAAGAATATTACCAAGAAACGCTCTTTGTCACCTCCAGGCATTCATCGAGATCCTGGAAGCCTTTCCTCCTGAGAGGCGATTCCTAGATTTTAAGAATTGGTGTGGTTTGAGAAGACCATTTAAAAAAAATCAGTGTTAATGAAATAAAGCTTCTCATAATTAGAAACACATCAAGGCAAGACATTTGGGAAATGAGACTCTGTCCCCTGGTGACTCTCCAGATATGGGTTCCATCGGCCAGGACCCACCGAAATCCATTGAAATGTGACTGTCTGAAAACAGAGGCCATAAAGAATGGCACACAGGCCAACATTTGATCCAGGCAGCTCTGGACTTTGACAGCTCTCTCTGTTCTACCAACTCCTGTTTTAGGTGGTAAACATTCTACTATTAGGTGGTAAAAAATTCTATTAGGTGGTAAACATTCTACTAGTGCTAATACTATGAATAGTAACAATGACACAAAATTATACAGTTGGCATTTATTGGTGCTTGCTGTGTATGGTTAAGCAGAATAATGACCCCCGCCCCCACCCCCAAAAATGTCCTAATCCTCAGAAACCATGAATATGTTATGTTAACGGCAAGGGAGAATTGAGGTTGTTAATCAACTGACCTTAAAATCAGGAGATCATCCTGGATGACCTGGGTAGGCACAGGTCAAACGACCCTAGCTCCATGTCCAGACATGCACTGCTCTGACCCAGCTGTTAGACTGGCTCCATAGAAGCTTAACAGCAGAAGAGGAGGGCAAACAGTCAGTGTCAGGCTGAAGAGACGTGAGAAAGACCTGACCGGTCACTGCAGGTTTTGAAGATGGAGGAAGGGGCCATGAGCCAAAGAATGCAGGCAGCCCCTGAAGCTGGAAGAGCAATAACAATAGGAAAATCCAGATTCTCTTCTGGGGAGAGAAGAAAGGCAGGCAGCCCTGCCAACACCTTGAATTTATCCTGCTAACCCCCATTTTGGACTTGGGAGCTCCAGCGCTATAAGATACTAAATGTGTGTGGTTTTAAGACATGAAGCTTGCACAGATGGGTTAGAGCAATAATAGGCAGCGAATACACTGTGCCAAACTTTGGGCCAAGTGTTTCATGTCCAACTATCTCTCATTCTGACAAACACTGCAATCATCCCACTCACACCAATGAAGAAACTGAGGCTCCCAATGTTTAGGGATTTACCTAAGGTCTCGGCTAGTCAAATGCAGAGCTAGAATGCAATCCAGGCCTGTTTGACTCCAAAGCCCGGATCTCTTCTCTATTCAAGACTAACCCATATGGAATCAAACCTGAAACGACCTTAGCTCCATGTCCAGATATGCACTGCTCCGCCCCAGCTGTTCGACTGGCTCCACAGAAGCTGAACAAAGCATACACGTGCACACACGCAAACACACATGCACGCACACACACACACAGTCAATTACCATTTTAAAATAGCTCCCTATCCAAATGGCCAAATGAAAGTATTATTTTGGTCTAATTGGTCCTCATTTATTCACTATATAGGACTCTTCTGAAAAAAAGGATGGAAGGGGCCAGGGGTGACTTGTGAATGTAGCCTGAATGCTTGGCTGAAAGCACTTTGAATCAATAAGCAAGCTAGTGCTTTGGTCTAGGAAATTTACTACAGTCAAGTTTGAAATGCTTTTCACTTTTATAATTAATTACCATGGGTAATGCTTTTTGTTATTATTTTTTATAATTAATTACCAAGCATTGCTAGTCGCCAGCAACTTTTCATACACTGCTTAAGCATACAGAGATAAGAAATCCGAACCGTAACTAGAGTGCGTGTTCATGGATTACTAAAATACTCACATAAGAATTACACACTAATTCAACTACAATAAAAAAAAAATTACACTTGAAGAGCTTATTATATACTATTCCTTCCCCTTCTGAGAAACATTTGAGCAGAAGCCTAGCATGGTTACCATGGCAACTATAATGCAAAATTGTCAGTAACTTTATGAATTGCAAATTCCTCTAAGGGTGTTGGGGATTTTTTTTCCTACTTCCATTTTTAACCATCTCATATGCATTATTCCAGCAATATGTTAAACAAGGTTTTTGGGAACTCATGCATCATTTCAAAACAAGTTATATTCTAAATGCTTAAATTCCATTATTCTAAGAGAAGCTAAACAGGGAACACCCAATTTGCCGAATATTAAATTGTCCATTGTTTTTAATGGAGTTCCCAACACATTTACTACCCTCACCTTTTCTGAAAAGGATCCAGTTAGTCAAATAAAGGAATCACTATATTCTTCATCACTGTCTGTATCTCCCTGAGAATGGAGAAAGAGATAGTCCTAGTTTAAAAACAAAACAAAACAAAAAAATAAAATAAAAAGGCACAGGCCCACAATCTGCTTTTCCTCCAAGTAACTTCAGTCACTTTCTGCATCAAACCTTTAATCAAGTGAATGGTCAATGTTCACTATTGTCCTTTCTCAATACATCTTCTCTCATGTTCTCATTAGACCATGAAAATGACCCAGAGAAGTTCCTTGAGTAGCGAGTTTCCCAACATGGTCTGTTTGTGTTGGGAGGTTAGAGACTTGGAAAGATAGGCAAAAGCATGTGTGACAATGTGAGTGCTTTCTCACAAATATTTGCAATGGCAGGTGGGGGTACCCACATAATCCTAATTGGTTCTGGTGCTAGCTGGTTGGACAAGTCACTTATGCTCTGCGAGCTTCAGCTTCCTCACCTCTAAAACAGGATTTTAAATTTTTGCTCTGTCCGTTTCACAAGACTGTTGTAAGGATCACATGAGATCATGTATTTGAAAGCCACCATGTCCTATTAAAATATTACTCTCAATTCTTCTCAATTTTTATTTCAGATAACCAGTACTAAGAATCTCCAAAATATGAATATTCTTTATTTTCTAGAATCTGATGTCAAGAAGATAAATGCTGATTCGTACCTTGGGTGTCTTGGGGTTTAGAAAATAAATTGAAATAAAGGTAAAGACAAAAAAAGCAGAATGAAATCCTATTTTATGAAGGAAGACCTACATTTTTGCCTCTGATCAGTTTCCAAGTTGTGAGACCTATTTGTTTGCAAGACTACACACAGAGAATGACTGCATTCAAAGCGTATCTCTAAGACAAGGGTACATCCATATGCTCACTGAGCTCAAGGAGGAACAGCATTTTGTGAAGCCAAGTGAGTCTACTGTTTGTTCCTCTCTGTGCTGTTTTGTAGCAACTTCTCGAGGTTGGAAGAATGCTAGTGTTTTTCCTCTCCTTGAACAGTAGTCTTCAAAAAGGATGTAAGTATGGCAGAACCCTTGTTAGACATAAATTACTGTGTACAAGACAATCAGAGAAACATGGTGGAGAAGCTTTAAAAGACTGAGACTCTGGTTTCCGGGACTTTCTTTTCATTCCTTCATTTGTTCACTTAGACATTGACTAAGAGCCAATTCTACTCTATTCCAGAAAATAAAAGGAAGAATCAAACACATTTGCACTCGTGAAGAGCTCTCTGATTTATTGAGGGGAGAGTATATGATCTTTTTTTCTAGCCCTAACTGCATCGAAAGGCCATCAGGACACAGAAATGGCAAAGACTACCACAAATGGGGCAGGAACAAGTAAAGAGAGACATCCCAGGGAAAGTGTGTGTGAGCTACATGGATTTAGGAGTTTTCCAGGTGGAGAATTGGTGCAGGGATTCTGCAGAGTAGAAGGCATGTGGAAATGCTTGGGAAGGTGAGATTGGAATGTTGAAGACCCCCATGGCTAGAGCACAGGATGCCAAGGATGGGGAATAATTTCACGGAGCAGGTCCAGGTCCAACTCGTCAGCATGCAGTATGTGCAGAAGCAATGGGGAGTCGGAATATTTTAAATAAGGAAAGGGAATGACCTGTCAGATCTGGGTTTTAGGCAGGATCCTTTAGGAGTAGCAGAGTCAAGCAAAACTAGTACAAGTGGCAAAGTCCCTGCCACGTGCAACAAGAGAGCCTGCTTTCATCAGAGCAGACCCAAAGCCCAATGGTCTTGAGGGCATGAAAAGCCGGGGAAAACTGTGGCAAGGAAGTCAGGATCCACTGGACTCCACAACTTCCTGAAAGTTTGAAGAGTGTCAGCATTATCTCAGAAGGTGAGCACACAGATTCCATGGTATCTCCGCCTTCCCCAGCTTGGCAATAATACAAAAATGTGGTCGATCCCCTTCACTCCATGTAACTCACACCAGATGCTGATGCCCTTCGACTCTTCCACAGCTACAGTTCCCCAAATCATTTCTTTCCAGAGGTCAGGCATCTGGAGCTCATTAAATCCCACACACCAGCATTTTAACTGTGTAAAACTGTTTATTTGCAGTGAATTTGATTTACACAGCACTGTGTATTCTTCGTTCTGGGAGGATGGCCTGCTCACCTAGGAGCTTGGGGCAATGGGGAGGACCTTTGGCCAAAAGCTGGAATTGGAAATCTAGGCTTTGTGAATCATTTGTAAAGAATGGAGAGCTTCAGGTCTTAGAGAAGGTTTATGTGACCTCCTTGTTATACAGGCAAGGAAACCAAGACCTGAAGAAGTTAAATGACAGAGGTGGAGGCTGGGACTCGGATCTCTTGATTCTCAGTCCAGTGGCCTTCTAGTTCCCCTGCCTCTCTACAGTTCAAAATACAAAAGAAGAAGAAGAAGACGAC